ATTCAAAGATATGAAAGTATTTAACTTTAGGTTTCCTTCCTTTCTATACCTCATAGAGAGTAGTACTAGTACCTCATCTCAAAGTGACCTTGTTATGAATATAGCAAGCAATATTCATAGCTTCAGCCTAAAATTCAAATGGAAATTACTTAGCACTAAGCATGACTCTAGCTGATTCTCATTTAGCTCTAGTCTTTTTCTAAACAATTCCAACTCCTTGAGTTATCCAGGAACAAGAGAACTCATGGCTTATTCCTTCAGATTAAAAAAATTCAGAGAATTTTGCATTCATAAACTCCTTGTCATGGTAACTTCTGACCTTTACAATCACACTCATCTTCTCCTCTTAAATGTTTTGAAACAGACCTTTGAAGACTTCAAAAGTATCTGATTTTTCTCTAAGAAAATTCATCCAAGTATACCTAGAAAAGTCATCTACAACCATAAAGACATACCTTTTTCCTGTTAGGATGTATATTTGTAATGGTACCATTACATCCATTTGAAGAGGTTCCAAAACTAGTCTGATGTTGCAACATTGGGTGTGACATCATGATTTACTTTTTACTTACACATTTATCACAAACATTTCCTTCTTCCATTTTGAGCTATGGCATATCTCTAATGACTCCTTCGGGTATGACTTCCTTCATTCTTTTTAAATGAAGATGTCTAAGTTTCTGGTGGCATAGCTTTACTTCATCCTCATTGGTTGTTGAACATGTGGAAGAGTAAGCAATTATTTGAGATTCTCACAAATAGAATTTGTCTTTGGACCTTGTGCCTTTCATTATAACAACTTCTTTCTCATATTTGACTAGACATTATAATTTTAAGAATTTGACTAATAGACCTTGGTCACACAATTGAATAATGCTAATAAGATTAACAGTTAATACTTTCACAAACAACACATCTTCTAAACTGGGATAACCATTACATATGAGCTTACCAACTCCTTTGATTTCTCCTTTAAACCCATCACCAAATCAAACAGATCTCGTGGGAGGTGGCTTGCCATTTACCAACATATTCTAGTCTACATTCATATGTCTAGAGCATCCACTATCAAAGTATCAGTCTCCACTAGTTGAGCCTCTCAAGGAAGTATGAGCTATAAGGTCAATATCTCTATTTTCAACACTTCTCTTTTTTCTCACTTAATTAGCCTTCGAACGAACTGAAGATTTTTTATCTCTATACAATTTGAAACATAAAGGCTTTATATGACCAAAATCACCACAGTAGTGACATCTCTAACTTTGTAGATGAGATACAGTATATAAGAATTGCTTCTTCTCATTCTCCAAATCAACAACGATCTTCCTTTGTTCTTCCTCTTTCTTGAGGTTTTCATCACACTTGTCATAATTATCCTTGTAGGACACATCCAGGTCTTTATAAATATCACTCTCATCACAAGCTTCAACTTCATTTTCCCATCTTCCAGATAGGGCCATCACAAGTTTGGCAGTCTCTGAATTATCTTCATCTTTTGACTTATCATTATCAGACCAAGATGCAGTGAAACCCTTATGTTGTTTCTTGAGGAAGTTGGGACATTCAGGTCTAAGGTGACCATATTCTTCACATTCATAACATTAAAGGCCTCTGCCTTGACTTAACTTATCTTATGTTCTTGTTTTCTTCTGAGAATCAAGATTGTTACTAATGTCATATGAGATTTTATTGACATTTGGTCTCCCTCTTTTGCCCAATATCTTCAAAACTCTATTGAATTGCTTCCCTAGTAGCACAATGCTATTATAAAAGCCCTCATCAGTGTCTAGATCACTTTGACCTTCATCATCTTTAGCACTGGATATAAAAGCTATGCCTTTGTTCTTTTTCTCAGTCTTTTTACTAATAGCTAATTCAAAATTTTGAAGTAACCCAATAAGCTCATCAACTCTCATGTTGTTGATGTCACGAGCTTCTTCAATAGCTGTAATCTTCATGTCAAATCTTCCATGTAAGGACCTAAGAATATTTCTAATCAACTTTGCTTTTGACATCTTTTCTTCCAAGGCACTTGATGCACTAGCAATTTCAAGAATCTTCATATGATATTCCTAAATTGCCTCACCATCATTCATCTTAAAATTCTCAAATTTCTTAGTGAGAAGCTGAAGTCTTAAAATATTTACTTTATTGGTACCTTCATAAGTTGTATTGAGAATTTCACAAGCATCCTTGGCTATAGTACATGTATTAATTAACCTGAAGACATTCATGTCTACTCCATTAAATAAAGCATTCAAAGCTTTGAAGTTTCCAATAGTCTATTTATCATCAGCTTCATCCCAATCTTCTTTTGGTTTTATAGATATTACTTTTTCATCTTTTTCCTTCAAAACAGGATGTTCCCATCCTTTTAAAACAGCCTTCAAGGCTTTGTTGTCCATAGACTTCAGAAAAGCTACCATTTTAACCTTCCACCAGTCATAATTTAAACCATCCAACATAGGTGGTCTATTGTTATACCCTCCTTCTTTTTCCATAGTACCAAAAAAATTTCACCCTGGATCTTACCCAATAAATAGAACAAGGTGCCTGCTCTTGATGCCAATTGAAATTCTAACACTTGCAATAACAGAAGTCAAGAAAAATGACTCAATAACACACAATGTCAAGACAAATATTATAACATTTGCTGACAGAAATCAGACTTGCTAAAAATAGAGAGATTGTGTAGAATGATAAATTGCAGAAATTTAAAGAACACAATCAATTATTAACCCATTTCAATGCAACTCACCTACTATGGGGTTTCCAAGCCAAGAAGGAAAACCACTATCAATATTATCAATTTGAAGCCTAAACAATCCAAGTTTACAACTTCTCACTTAATCCCTACCCAGTGCAACTTCTACCAAGGTACCTCCTATATATGAGAACCCCTCTCACTCCCTATCACCGCAATGATATCAAACAATCCCAATCCCAAGAAATGTCTCAAGAAACCAAAAGAAGATTACTCTTCCAATACAAAAATACTTAGTTTTGCTTAAAATCTTAACTAAGAACAATACCCAACTATTTGCTTAAAAGCTTAAAGGAGATTAATAACTTGATAAACAAGTAACAATCAATCAACTCAATGCATCAAAAGATACATGAGGACATACAAAGAACATACAAAATACCTAAGGAACTCTCAAACCCTAAACCCTTATTTTTCACAAGGTTTTACAATAAAAACAATGCTTAAAAACTCGTTCTTGGACGTCTCGTAAATAGACTCCTTTAGTGGGCTTGGACTCTTCAATTGAATCTAATCTTCAGTTATAAATCCTTGCAGAGTCTTCTCCACAAAAATAGAAACAAAAAACCAATCTTTCAAATATTTCCCAAAAAGTCTCAAAGATCTTTTTATGAAACAAATCAAATATGCAATTGTTCCTAAAAAATTCTTGGTTGCCTGCGCCTGTTATGAGTACTAGAAGCCTCCAGAAACTCATATTTTTCAATCAAATCTTCAAGGATATCAGTCAGCTGCATTGTCATGATGTTTTGTTATATTACAACATATGATAGAACATTTGTCAAATAAAATACAAGCAGACTCTGTTGTACGAGCTAATTAAGATGTTATGACATCTTGTTCAACATTAGGCTGTAATACATGTTTTCCAAATGAAACATGTTTTGATAAAATTATTGCCAACTCTTTTTTTTACCAAAATTGTTGCCAACCATAAAATTACAGACCTAACATTATGGATCAAATAGTTTGGTTAATATATAAACACGAGTAGGGGTGACAAACAAGCTTGTTTTCACAATTTAGGTTTGTCTCGCCAAAACTCGGGAAAAAAAGGTGGGAAGGGGTGAACGTAGCTGAGGGTGATGGTCTAACACCTTGTCTCGTCAAGCGAAAAAATGAAATGTCGAGCGAGACAAACATGTCAGCCTTGCATGTCTAAAGATTAGAAGTTACAAAACTTTTTTTTATATGCGTGCTCGCAAAAACAAAAAAAAAAGGACGGGACACAACAAATATTATAGAGAGTGCATGCCTAAAACTTTGACACTTCCTTAAAAAAGAACGAGTAAAACTGGCATGCCTAGCAGGCTGGGCCCAAAATATTAATGAATACCTTAAGGTCAATGTCACGGGGATTTCTTAGTACACCCTTATATGAATGAATAAAACCTTTAAAAACTCCAAAATATCCTTCGGGGATGCATATCCGAACAAACCCTTAAATCAAATTTCAAGGTGTTTCGAAGGGTCAGAATCCAAAAACTTTATGTTTACACGTTATTATAATTTTAACAACATTCGGTGATATTTTCGAATATGCAATCTGAAACTCTTTGAAATTTGATTTAAGAGTTCATTCAGATATGCATCTCTGAAATCCTAGGCAGAATCATATTTTTTTATATAAAACATCAATGTGGTACCTAATAAACACAACTATTTGATACGCAATCCGTTTAAATACTATTGAAATACCAAAATACCAAAAACCAAAAATGATACAAATATAAATTGTTTATAAATATTAGAAATTAGTACATAAATTGTTTAGAAAGTACGAAATGTAAAATTATTCTCTAAATGATTAAAACAGTACATACATTATTCTTATTTAAACAACTACTTGATGAAAACAGTACATACATTATTCTTATTTAAACAACTACTTTTTATCATTACTAACTTGTTCAATATCATTAAAATTTCTAATATGTAATTAAATGAAGATAATGCTAATCAAATCATCACAACATTTTATTTAAACAAAATATTTATTAATTAAAGTGATACAAATGTACATTTTACAATAGTTCCAATAAAATCTGAACGAGACTAAATTATTACTACATTAGATAAAATCCTAACAATATATTCACAGATTCTTTTCTTTATCTCTAAAATTTTACTTTGCTGCTATAGTTTTGGTTTATTTCATAGCAATATCTAAATTAATGGATGGACTCATTAATCTAGCACTTGGTGTTGTTCATATCTTTAATTTTGTCGACCAAACTCAAGACTCCTCAGACTTCTTGGACTTCTCAGAAGACTTAGAAGGCGAAGAAGATTTAGACTCCTTAGACTCTTCAGAAGATTTAGAAGGCGAAGAAGACTTAGAAGGCCCAGACGCAGCAACTGGAGAAGATGAAGAAGGCGAAGAAGACTGAGAAGGTGCAGACGCAATAACAGGAGAAGACGAAGACGCAGAACCAGCAGAACCACCGCTCATAGGACCAAGGGAACAAGGTACCCCAGAACTCGTCATCCAAGGTGAACCAGAAACCTGAAGAAATTTACCAGGGTAAAAATCAGCAGCCTCATTGCCAGTAATAGTTTTAACATTATGCCATTTGACTCTTCCTTTCGTATCAGCGCCAGGACCTTTATTGTTATACTCATAAAAAGTACATGTGTCGGTAAACGCATTTCCACTCCATGCTTCGTAACCTTCGGGGAGAAAGATGTCATCTATAACTGAATCCATTATCACAACTCTGGAGTATGCTTTCCATGGTCTTCCTAGAAATGATATTTTGGGTGACATCGATACTAATTCAGGTTCACCTGAGAAGTGACAACTTTGGAAAACAAGTGCACCTGAGCTGCTCGATGTGAGTCTTCCACCAGCTGTTACTAAATTGGCTTGGCCTGTTATTGGTTTTCTAACTATAATTTTGCAGTTTTGGAAAACTCCAAAGGGGTCGCCGAATATAAAGTCGATTGTACCTGAGATGCTACAATCGCGAAAGTATTGGCGTAGGGATTGGGCGAAGAGTGTGTCTTGGTAACCATCTATTTGACAGTTGTAGAATACTGCCATGTCTCCTGAAACTCTTAGTGCTACTGCTTGCTTTTTACTCGGTCCTGCTGTGTTTTCAATGCCTATATCCTTCGCCACAAAGTTTGCACCATTCACACCTGCCATACATATACAACTTAATCAAATAACTATGAGATACTTTTTCTTTTAGCTTAAGTAAAAAAATAACTGCTTGAATGGACATCATCATCAGAGTTTGAACCCTGGTATTCATGGTTTTGTGTGAGCATTTAGTGGTTGTTATCACTCGTCTTACAGATAAAAAAGAAAAGATTTTACTTACCAACTGTTGCACTATCATAAGTTAGGACGCCATCAACAAAGTTGAGGCTACCTGTGAATTTGGTTTTTGTAGGACCATCACCTAGGATTGTCACATAATCCATCTTTAGAGGAATATTAACAACCTCTTTATAAACACCAGCCTTAACATAAATGACAAAAGGTTTTGCATTATTCGCCGGAACCTTCGTAAGAGCTTCCTTGACAGTTTTAAATTGTCCACTGCCATCTTGCGCCACAACAGCATCTGGCTTAACGCTCGAATCAGCAAGAAGACGTCTTTGTCCTTCGCTAACCCATGTAGGATAACTATCAACAAGTTTTTTAGATTCATCGGATAAAGTCCTCCTATTAAAACCACCTGGGACTTGGTCAACATACTTATGCTTTCCAGAAACTGCACTAAGCATCTCAATAGCAATATTGCTTAATTTCATAGAAGCGCTCAAAACCTGAGCCATTCTCTGACTAGCTTTTGAGTCTGCTTTCTCAAAACTATCCAAACATGTTTGTTGATTTGTAAGTGTAGCAGTCATCCAAACTTTAAGATCGAAAACAAAGTCTCTTAACCTACTGAAATCAAATCTGTCTAATTCCCCAACAGATTTATTAACTCCATCAACAGAATTTTCCATCACTTCGTTGCAAATTCGCATTGCTTGTCTGGTCATGTTGTCTTTTACCAATTCATTAGAAAGAGCTGGATTGTTTATGTTTTTCATTAACTCCCCGGCGTTATCAATGAATGCCTTTTTCATACGTTCTTTTAGGTTTCTTGCTCCGCTAAACATTTTTCCTACTCTCGTTTTACATTTATCCGGGTTTGATAGACAACTCATTTCAAAATCCCTTTGTGTTGTAAATATTTTTCCATTTTGTTCCCCTGGTTCTCTTAAGCCGCTGCGCGTTAAACTGACCGCGACAGATCCGATCACGGCGATAAGGAGAATGGAAGAGAAACCAACAACTGCAAACCTTTTCTTTTGGTTACGAACACGGTTCATATTATCACGCGCTCCTTCCATGTTTTTATGAAAATACTAATAATTTTTCTATGAAACTATATAGTATATAGACTATTTTTTTTCTTCTTTTTTTTTTCTGTACTGTGTTTTTCAAATTCCCTATAGGGATAGCTCTATCTTCTTCATCTCTGATTTTGATTCTATATATACACATGCATGAAAAAATCAGTAAAAAAAGTTGGGAATTGTTTACTATGAAAATAGTGGTATTGTACAAAACTCCTAAACATGGTTTATAACATTAGCTGAAATTTAGCTATTGACCAATTTTGGCATTTATTTAATGAGTGGTGATTATATACCAGGCATAGATTTGAGGATGTCATTGAAGTGTTAACTTTAGTACACTTTATAAATTAGATGTTGAACATGTTCGCAACCCGAGTTCTGTGACTTACTTATTCATATGCGTGGTAACTATGTGTCTTCATGAAGTATTTTTTAGAATGAAATTTGAGAAAAACATATGGGACATGGAAAAACATTTTTTTTTTATATTGTGAATCATAGGAGAAATCTAGATACATTTTTTCAAAATTAGGATTTCCTACTCGGGTTTTGATCATCTTATTGCTCCAATTAATTTAAAAGTTGTCTTTGATTTGTTTTACAAAAGTTTTGTCCATTAATATTTGGTAGGCGGGTGTTGCATTATGAAATCCAAAAGGCTGACATGATACTAAATATTTGTTCTATTCTTCATGAAGGTTGTCTAATGGTTTTAAATTGCGGTCCATAAGCATAATATTGTGGATGCAATTGTCTTCGCAACTGTATCGAACCGTAATTATAGTATAATTTTAAATCACACTTTCGACTATATTAGGAATCATATCATGCAATTTCAATCATGTTCCTTTATGTATTTGAATGTATAATCTCTTTGATGAAGACTTTATTTTCTAGGTTTTGAGTCTCTTCTTAAACTACAACCTGCTTTAATCTTGTCGGTTTTCTTTTCTTTTGTACTATGTGAAATTGTGGCATTTGTAATAACAGAAGTCAAGACAGAGGTCTCAACAACACACAATGTCAAGATAAATGTTATAACATCTGTTGATAGAAAACAAACTTGCTAAAAACAGAAAGATTGTGCAGAAAGATAAGTTGAAGAAACTTAAGGAACGCAATCAATTGTTAACCAAGTTTGAGGAAACTCATCTACTCAAGAGACTACCAATCCAATAATGAAATTTACTATCAACATTATCAATTCGAATCCTAAACAATCTAAATTTACAACTTCTCTCTTAATCCCTACCCAGTGCAACTTCTAACAAGGAACCTCCTAGATATGAGAATTTCTTTCACTCCTTATCACCGCAGTGATATCAAACAATTCCAATCCCAAAGAATGTCTCAAGAAACCAAAAAGAAGATTACTCTTCCAATACAAAAATACTTAGTTTTACTTAAAAGCTTAACTAAGAACAATACTCAATTGTTTGTTTAAAAGGTTAGGAGAATAATAACTTGATAAACAACTAACAATCAGTCAACTCAATCCATCAAGAGATACACGAGGACATACAAAGAATACACAGAAAACCTAAGGAACTCTCAAACCCTAAACCCTTATTTTTCACAAGGTTTTACAATAAAAACAATGCTAAAAAAACTAGGTATTAGACGTCCCATTAAATAGACTCTTGCAGTGGGCTTGGACTCTTCAATCAAATACAATCTTCAGCTGTAAATCCATGCAGAATCTTCTCCACAAAAATATAAATAAAAAAACAAATCTTTCAAATATATCCTAAAAAGTTTCAAAGATCCTTTTTATGAAACAAATCAAATATACAATTGTTCCTAAAAAAATACTTGATTGCATGTGCCTGTTACGAGGACTAGAAGCTTCAAGAAACTCTTTTTTCATTCAAATCTTCAAGGATATCAACCACTTATACTGTCGTGATGTTCTGTTGTAACATGTTATAACATCTGATATAACATATGCCAAATAAAGTATCAGCAGACTTGTACTGTCGTGATGTTCTGTTGTAACATGTTCCCTTTTGTATTAATCTCTTAAATATTGTTTTATTAAATATTATTTTATTATTTTTGTTTGGTCCAGACTTAGATGTTATTTTAGAACAAGTTCCTCAACCTCATTGGATCTTGGGTGTTGATAGGTTGAAAAACTAAATCCACCAAAATGGATGAATGATGTTGATGATATTTGAAACCCTATTTCATTTGATACATCCCTCCCCTCTTCATCTTATATCTTTCTTACTTGTGCTACATGTTGTTGGAGAATGATCTCTATATAATTTCTCTAACACTTGGTACATATATTGTTATTGACCGACCTCAAAATAGGTGTGACTTCTACATAAGTCCACTTACGATTGCTTAACATAGCGCTAAAATTTTCCCAATTCAAAAAATGATCATTCGTGGACCAAACTTATGTTTGCAAGCCCAAGCGTTTTTAATTTAAAACATTTGATCCAATAACCTTGAGGTTCATTGATAGGAGGTTTTGATCTTATCAATCCTCTAATGAACCTTCATAAATTTTGGTCTAATTGAATCATTTAAACATCACTGATCATATGAGGACGTCTTGAGCATTTGAAATAAATGATATACTTGATAAAAAGCAAGTGAGACTTGTTGATGAGAAGCTTTGATTTTATCAATCTTCTAATGGATTTTCAAATGCAAGTTTCAACATGGTCATTCAACTAACCTCTACTAATTTATTATTAATTGACTTTATTTTATGTTTTTACTTTGTACTTTTACTTTGTGTTTTTACTTTTTGCCTTTTATTTTTATGCCTTTACTTTTATGTATTTTCATATTTTTTTTTTAATCTTTGCTCATTTGAGCATTTATCTTTATGTATTTTTATTTTCGCTCACTTGAGCTTTCTTTTCTTTTTAAAGATACTTGATAACCAACTTGAACATTAAAAAAACTTTAAAGTTACTTGGACTATTTGGTTACTATCATTGGCCTAATGGAGTTGTTGACCTCTCGGACTTAGAATTAGAAACATTGATTACCCTTGGGACCTTGTGACTTTGTTGTTATTTTTTATGGAGTTCTTGGGGTTTACCCCAAGACATTCGATCGATTTTCTTTGTTTACAGGTTATTCTGATGATATGCTTTATATGTGATTGGGAATTCCTCTGTATACAGTTGTTACTCTACCCAATTTTTGTGAAGACTTAATGCATCTGAATCTTGGTATTTTTGAGAGGTTTAGTATCTTTGATTGCTTGGTTTCAATCTAAAGGATAGGAATTCTACATTGACTCTTTATGTCAAGTGTTGGATTCTTGTTGGTTAGATGGTTCTTTTTCATAGCTTTTATCTTATGCTTTAGGATAGTCGCTTCATCTCCTCCCCTCTTCTTTAATTTCAAAAACCTTCTTCCTCCTTTTCAAAACTCTTCTTATTTTTTTAACTTGAACCGCTTTCATGATAAACTTGGACTTAGGTCCATGCATTTTCAAAAATATTTTCTTAACCAAAGTTTAACCAACTTAATCATACTTTGACATTTTTGTAAGAATACTAAAAGTCAATCAACCTCATTCTAACCATTTTTGACACTTTGGATTTTTACTTTAAAACTCTTTTCTTAAAAAGATTAGACTCTTGTCGATTCTTGTAGCGATGCGAGCTACTATACTTCTATGATATATAGTGAAGTGAGATGTTTTCCACTTGGGTGTTGAGTGAGGCTTTGTTGATTTTAAAATCCAAGCTATATCCTCCACTTTGAGATGATTCAAATTATCTTTTCTCATAATCGTGGGTAGTAAGTATGTTTTCCACTTGGATATGACGATGATGTCTCGTCTCTTAAAATTAACCAACACACATGTGTTTTGAATTTTTTAAAAGGTGAACTACGAGTATCCTGATCCCCTATTGCACAAAAGGTGGTACGTAGGCACTAAAGGCTCCCAACCGCAGCGGGTGCAAAAATTGTAAAAAATACTTCTTTTCTCATCTCCACCATCTATTTTGTATACAACATAAAAAGCCAAAATATACAAATATTCAAAGAGGTTCGTGCGAAGTACCGTAAATGTTTAGTGTGATAATACCTTCCCTTTGTATAACCAACCCCTGTACCAAGATTCTCTCCCCTCTTTTTTGAGTTATTCTCTCTTTTCCCATTCCTCTGGAAACAATAAAGCGCGGTGGTGATTTTTATTTGATGTGTGAGAGTCAAGTCAATCTAATGGATTATTCTCAACGTTTCTACCGCTATAACTTCATGGAGAGATTTATAAGAAGATGTGGAAGATGCTACCTCAAAAGGTTGGGCCAAACTTATGGAGATACCTGAGAAGAAAAATCATTTTGGTTTGGGCTACGAATCATTAAAGGATACCCTGGAAGGCAAGGCGCTGTTTCCTCCTATTTAGGAGACCTTTATCAACAAAGGAACAAAGCATGGTGGATAATTGGCAATGATATACAACAAAAGCAGCACTAAGGGAGCATCTGGCTTCATCCATGAATGTTCTCTAGGCGAAGAACTCAAGAACTGGACAGTCGTGGAGATTCTAGAGATCTTTTTATTTTCAAAGTAATTTTTCTTGTTTTTGAAATAACTTATTTCATGCCCGAGGCATATGGGTAGCTTGTAAGAGTCCCCCAATTTGTTTCAAATAGTATTTTCAATTAATAAGAGTTATATTTTGCATTCAATTAAGATCCTTGTCTTTCTCTTACATTTATCTCTTATATTAAAAAATGGAAATACTTTTCTTCATATGCATTTACAAATTCACATACTAAAACTCCACCAAAACATGATAAATGTGTAGATCCATGCCTAAAATCACCGATAATGTTACTGCTGCTATCCGATATAATTTTGGTGCACCGATCAACCAAGCGGAAGAGGAAGATGATGAGGATCTTGAACTCTCTGAAGAATTATCAAGGGAATTAAAGCAAAAAGATAATAATATACAACCATAGCAAGAATCTATTGAGACCATCAACCTTGGAACAAAGGAAGAT